AGGAGCGTGTCAGGCTACATTTCACTGTGTGTTATACTTGTATAACTATGCATGTGACAAATAAAGAACCTTGAACCTTGAACCACTGTATTTGATCAGAAATATGAAATATTTTAGCAAGAGATAGACTGGGTGGACTAAATTGTCTTTGCATGTACACAAGAGAGAATGAAAGATTAAAATCATGAAAAATAAAAGTGGTACAGAGGATCTCTGGTATCTGGAAGAGGTCGATCCAGAGGTAGCGGGTTGCTCAGAAAAACATTGTACCCATACTTCACAAACAGGCTCTGAGCCTCTCTTTGGTCATCCTCAGAGAAATCTTCCCTCCATTTGTCAAATCAAATCACTTTTATTGTCACATCACATGTGCAGGTACACTGGTACAGCACATGCAACTGAAATTCTTGTGTGCAAGCTTCACAAGCAACAGAGGTGTGCTTGAACAAGAATGACATAGGGAACAGTTTTTCAGACTTTTTCATTTGAGCTGTCTCATATTTGGGTTGAATATTTACATCACCTTTCTTCTGCTTCTCAGCTGATTTTCTGTCTGTCGCTGTCTTTGTCACGGCTAGTAGGGCAGGCTGTGTGTAATTTAATGAAGGACCCAAGATGCAGGCAGATTTTAGATGCGAGTGAGTTTTATTAGGGAGGTGAAACAAAGAGAAACGCAGTGGGCATGACACCGAACCTAAGGATTACCTAAACTGGAGAAAAGTAAGAAAAGACCAGAAATGGAGATGCAGGGAGATTCAGAGAAACTACACAGGAAAATGCAGGGAAATACACAGACAAACCAGCAATGCACACAAGAAAACACAGGGCTTAAATACACACAGGGCAATCAGGGAATGGGAGACAGGAGGGAGTCACAGCTGGGATGAATTGGACATGATGAGACAAGGGGAAGCAAAATTAGACAAACTAATGTAGGACATGGCACTGTCAAAATAAAACAGGAAGTGACATGAACACAGAGACTCAAAACTAAGACAGTAGAGAGGGAACACACATCTTCTGCATGACATCCTGCTTTTACTCAGAACTTCTGAGTACATCGTCTTCAGTAGAAAACTGAAGTAAAAACACGAATAAAAAAACACAATCAAGGAATTTCAATAGTTAATATTCCTACTCAACAAAAGAAACACTGCACAAGAAAATACTGAAAACTAGAGCATAAAAAGCACATTTATAGAAAAGGGACAAACACTTGTGTTATAATTTGACCTCGTATGTCATTAACAAACTGCAAAAGTTCAGTTAAAAGCCATTTCTTTCTTTCATAACTACACATACTGTTCTTCCATGAATGTTTTTGTTTGTTTGTTTGTTTTATCACACCTTATTGTCATATATTCAATACATGTGCAGGCAATACCCTTTACTGCGTCAACTTGTTTTTATGATTTTAACTCCTTTTATTACTTGATCTCTCTTCCTTTTTATGGTGCAAATACTATGGGTACCATGAAATCATAATTAATATTAATATGTGACTGAACTCACTTAGATAGGTTGGAAAAACTCCTGATCATATGCGGTGTTTCCAAATCCTTATTGGTATCCACACCATGTTTGTATCCGTTCTTCAGAAACATGCCCAAAAAGGGGATGACCAGTATGGTCCCCAGTAAAAAAAAAAGGCCTTTTTGTCCACATTCCCCTGATGGTGGTAACACACTGACCTCCTAGTCAGATAATAAAACTTCAGAGACACTAAGCTACTGAACTGCTGAGATTGAGTAGTTTGTACAGACTGGGGTTCATGTAAATTCAACTGAAAATGACCCCAATGACCCCCAAGTAAGAACAATAGCCGGTTTACCCATGAAACCCTTACAGTGACAGCTGATAGAATGCATAAAAAGATAATAACACCTCAGAGGACACACACGGAAAACTCACCTACTGACCTGACAACATCTACTAGTTTGTACCTGTTTTGCATAGCATAAAACCTCTGGGTTACATTGACATAGGCACAGTCTTTGACATCCCTGCCCGCTCATTACAGGCACAGGTGTTCCTCATGTGTGTTGATGTCATGGCTCATTTAACAAAATGCCTGAAATTATTACTAGTAATTATTATTAAGATTGCTATTATAATCTTCAGTTTACTGGCTGTTAATTGTCAATCGTGTGGGTAACATTTAACTTCTGTTGTCTCAGTACTTGATGTCTGAGAAACTCAGGTGCAGAGCAGTAATGTAGAGCTAACCATAGCTGTCTAATACATTTATGTTAAACTCATCCAATATCATAGTTCACAGACAGGAGGTGTATGCAACAAAGCTATGTAAGGACATTTCACATCACTCTTTTCACACCCTACACGATCTGTCATCAGTTGACATCCTGTAGGACAGCCATTCCCAAAGTCAAGCTCTTCAGAATAAAAGTAAAAGAAATGTTTATTAAAGGGTAAGTGTGTTCAGATATCTGTTTGTCACAGTTAATTTGGAGTGAAGTCACATCTGAAACTCTGAGCATGTTATTACCCCATCTAAAGTCCATGTTAAGCTACCTGAGTTTACCCAACCTTAAAAATGTGTACAAATGGATTTGTTTAACCCTATAAGACCCAACCCATCAAAAAATAGCCAGAAATTCAGATTTTTTGGAACTGAGATGTTTATTAACCTTTATAACAAAATCCTTCAAATTTTCTGCTATATTATGCAATATATAACATATATTTATTATATATTTTTTGTATCGCATTAGGAACATTGCGTGTTTTTTTGAAACTTTTTGCTAACAACAACAATGTTAATTTTAGACTAACAAAAGAGTTTTGTCCATAACATTTTGAAATTATGGCAAATATTGATCATGTTGATGAGATAGAGGTCTCAGAAACTCATGTATCAAATCAATCATCTACGACACAAAGGGCATTAAATGTATATAATATTGATGTAAATGTTTCACAGCAGAAGCTATGCGGACCAATCTCTTGCAACGGTTGTAGAAGGATCGAATGGCCAGCAGCAATGCGCTAGACACCCCATACTCCCAAGCACCTCCCACAGGAAACTCTGAGGGACATGGTGAAATGCCTTCTACAGGTCCACAAAACACATGTAGACTGGTTGGTCAAACTCCTGTGAACCCTCAAGTATCCTCGAGAGGGTAAAGAGCTGGTCCAGTGTTCAGGACCAGGACAAAACTGCATTGTTCCTCCTGTATCCGAGGCTCGACTAATGGACGGACTCTCCTTTCCAGCACCCTGGCAAAGACTTTCACAGGGAGGCTGAGGAGCGTGATCCCCCTATATTTAGTACACACCCTCCGGTCCCCCTTCTTAAAGTTGGGTGGTACCTCTGCCAATCCTGAGGTTCCAGAATCTCTTCGAGGCAGTCCGAAAGTCTTTTTCCATGGCCTCTCAGAACTCCTCCCACACCTGATTACCGCCATGACAGGCACAAACTATCTTGTGGCTGCAGCTCAATGCAGCAGCTTTGGCAATGCGACCTAGGGTGCCCTGGTGCCACGTGCACTTATGAACACCCTTATGTTCGAACATGGTGTTTGCTATGGACCAACGGTGATTTGCACAGAAATCCAACAACAAAAAAACCACCCTGGATCAGATCCGGTAGGCCTTTCCTCCCAATCACGCCCCTCCAGGTCTCACTGTCATTGCCCATATGAGGGCAAAGCACAGACAACCTTTTCCCCGATCCAAAGTTGCAGGGAACAAACCCTCTTGTCCACCAGGAGAATCCACAAAGGACAAGCAGCAAGCCAAGGAGATACCCCTGTCTTCCGCATCTCACCAATAGCAACTCCAGACTGAGACAGAGTCCAGCCCCTCTACAGGAGACTGGTTCCAGAGCCCAAGCTGTGCGTTGAGGTGAGCTCGACTATATCTAGCTGGCACCTCTCAACCTCATGCACTAACTCAGGCTCCGTCCCCACAAGAGATGTGAAATTCTATATCCCAGTTGTGAGTCTTGTTAGACGGAGATTGGTCCACCGGAGCCCCTGCTCCTGGCAGCTGCATGACACACATTGTACCCGACCCCTATGGCAGCTCCTGCGGGTGGTGGACCTAAAGGAGGATGGGCCCATGTCCAGTCTGTGCCCAACGGGGAACAAAGACCCGGCCACCAGACGCTTGCCGTCGGGCACCCTCCTCAGGCCTGTCTCCTGGGCGGGGCCCCGGTCACCCTATCCTGGGCAGGGTAAACTGTTCCCTTAATTGTATAATCATATGGGTCTTTTGAATTGCTGCTTGTCTGGTCTCTCACCCAGGACCAATTTGCCATGGGAGACCCTACCAGGGGGCAAAAGCACCCCCCCCCCCCGACAATATAGCCCTTGGGATCCCTGGGACACAGAAGGTAGCGATTCACGGAGGGGGGAATGTTGTCTGTCTACTGTAGAAAGTTTTTGATTTAAAATTGAAACAGGCAATGTGGAGTCGGTATGAACAGTGTAATGGAGCACCTTTAACAGAATGGGATCTGCTTAAAAGTAATGGGAATCAGTTATACTGAAGCATTAGGAAAAAGTAAATGAGCAGTTTTATTCAGGACTGTGTGTTTGTATTAGTTTTTCATTATGATGCACTACATTCCAGAGAACTCTACAAAATAGTCAGACATCTGTTCCCTTTTAGGCATGCATCCTGATGTTAGTCATGTTTAAATTAAATATTTAAATTATATTATATTTCAGTTGAATGATATTCCTTCATAGGTCTTTACCACATTTATTTTTCATTAGTAACATAACAGACATAAGATCTATAAAATACATTTCGAAATCTTTTAACTACCCACTAGTGCCAACAGGACTGTGATGGACCGAGTTGAAAAACAGGAGGAGTCCCCGGAATTATTAGAAAAATATAGTTTCCATTTATTTAACCCCCAAAAATTATATTTACAAGAATAATAAATGTTGAGCTCATAAAAGAGGTCAAAGAAGCAAAACTGAACTCAGGCAAAGACTGCAAACGTAACAAACCAAATGACTGCTACAAACATACATAATTGACCTAAACATGAAATGACATACAAGGGTACATATAATGGCTGTCAGACCATTGTGACACATGAGGGGTAACAAACAAAACACAATCATAAATCACAAACGATGCAGCACAATCTAGTTTGTTAATAAACTAAACACTAAAGAAGAAAATTAAAAACCCCATTAAACCCTAAACTCAAATATTTAATTAAATACAAATACTTTGTTTTTAAAGTAAAGAAAACACACATTCTCCCCTTCAGCAGGAAGTGGTGGTGTGGTCCAATTATCTTCCTTTGTATTTAATGGTTTCAAACCCTGGCTACCATCTTTTGTCCAGCAACTCCCAGGGATTATGGCAGGTAAGAAATAAAAAGACAAAGGTTAGTCAGAAAGCAAAGAAATGAAGTAGTATGAATACATAAGTAAACTAAATGCGCGCGCTTACAAATAGAACAAATGTATCCAAACCAATCAATAAAGTTATTGGAAACTAAAATGTATTACTATGTTCAAATGAAGAATGAAAATACAAAAGTTACCGACTTTAGAGTGTGGCCACGGGTTTGGCCATCACAAGGACAGATATGAATTATAGATTTTGCTATGGTAACTACCGTTGAAATACTGGAAACTCAAGTCCTTCAAACTTGTAACAGACAGAGCAAATGTGTTATTAAAAGATATTATTTTATGGTCTCCATTGTAGCTGAAACTTAATAAGTAAAGCATCACTTTAAAACTGCAATTACCAAGCATGAGTTTTACTGGGACAGAATATGTGAACATGGATTTGCTGCAATTCATGTCAACTCTTGTACAGACATATAATTGGCAACACCCTGCTAGGATTTCACAACTGTGTAACTTGGTCTTGAATGTTGAAAAGACTCAAAGTTTGTTGTGCTACTCTAGACTGAAAATCTTTGATACAAAACCTACTTAATATCTAAGGTATTTTTTCAAATATCTTGGCTTTAAAATCTGTAATACACACACACTCACATTAAAAGTATTGGAAGCAAAAGTCAATGTATTGTCCTCAATAGAGCACCCAGGTGTAACTTATCCACTGCCCAATGAACAGAGCTCAAACACACTTTAAAAGGGTTTGATTATGTGTTGAATTGTCCATCTTTGACCCGTACATTCCTGTATTATAAGTTTCTTGTTTATAATTTCCAGGCATCTCTTTGTCTGTCTGTTCTTCAGTTCTTCGCCCTGGGAAAGAAAGCAAAGTGTTAAAAAAAAAAGGCAGCTAGTTTGTTCAGTTTTAAGACAAACAGTGCTCATTCAACCTGTTCTGAGATGCAGCAAACAACTTTGTAGTACCTGAGTGAAGTCCCAGTATATCCCCATTCCTTTCTGCATAGCCTCTTTACAGTTGTACAGGCCAGGCTCAGTTTCTTCTGTGCCTATGTCAGCTAAACATCGGTTGTCATTGTACTTATGTGACTTGATGCCACCAATGTAGAGCTCACCCGTTCCACGATAATATGTGAACTTAGAAAGGAAGAAAGAGAAAGAGACAGAGAGATACAGAGGGCAAAATGATATTATGATGTTAAAAATGCTAACAACAGACAACAAGGAACAATAACTAACTTCTTCGTTCTCTGTGGACTGTGACATTCATTTCAGATGGAATTGCACGCACAAATGCTTGTGTTTCGAAAGAGACATCCTGGGTGCGATCTAAAAATACCAGCTGCACTGTCAACAATCCTGAGCTTAACAAAGAGACAAGCTTAAAGACAAAATTACTCAATTGTAACCCTTTAAAGCTTGAACCATGAAATAATTGCAAGAAAGGTTTTGAAAATAGAAAATAAAGTGTTTACCATTAAAAAAATTTAAAATATGAGTTCCAAATTTATTTTTTCTTCATTTTTTGCTTAAACTTGTGTTGTGCAATTTGTTGAGGTTGTTTGGGGGGGAAGGGGGGGAGTCTGAAAAACTCCCAAATTTGTATCAAATATGATACAGTATGCGTTAAAAGATTTAATCAATTTATAGTGTTTTTCGTTTTGATTTTTGTTTTTTTATAACGGCACTGCCTTATAATCATGATTATCAACATAATTATAAGGTGCTTCACTTACTTGAGGTCCATAGTAGTAGCAATTGTAGGCTATCGGTGTGTGACCTGGTACTGCACCTTGGTCTATGCACATGTCAGCGTCAAGGCTCTTCATCTGTCATCAGGAGAACATTATGAATATTACAAATGGAAACAGCAAATCATCAAACACAGATTCCCACACATTGTGCAGGACCTCTCTGTACCAAACATACTAAGCATCAGAGAAAAGTAAACGTACTCCTCCATATGCGAGGAGGTCGTCCCAGGGATCCAGCTTAGGATACACATTATCCAGGTACCATTTGAAAGGTTTACAGTTCAGCCTTTCTCTGAGTTTCTTCCTCTCTGAAATGTCACCTATGTCAATTCCATGATTCTGCAAAAAGCAAAATAAGGTGTTAATCAGCTTATAGTTTCATGTGACTGAGGAAGAATCTAAAGAGAGGTTTCCTTTGAATTTCAATGCAAAAAAAGCTAAGAGCACTCAAAGTCTCATAAAGTTGTTAATTAATCAATGTTTTTTTTGCGTCATGTAAGCAGACAAATGAAATATCCCTTAAAGAAAGTGTCATTTACTATTTGTGTCAATGCCACAAACACCATGCCACAAAGTTTCTTCCTCTCTGAAATGTCGCCTGTGTCAATTCTATGATTCTGCAGGAACTAAGAAGAAGATGTGAATCGATTCACAGATTGTGACTGAGGAAGAATCTGAAGAAAGATTTTCCTTAAATGTCAATGTAAAAAAAGCTAAAACACAAACACACAAAGAGCACTCAAAGCCTAATATGTACCCATAACTCATCGCCTCATGACTCTGTGAACAGGAGAATGAAATATCCTTTAGAAAAAACATAATTTGCTGTTTGTGTCAATGCCTCAAAACACCTCAAATGGGATGTTCCAAGCCAAGTTAACGTTGTGCTTGTATTCATCCATCCAGATCTCTGCAACTCTGAGGGCATTTCTCTTCATGGCAGGACCCAGGTCAGGCATGTAGGGCTTGTGGGCCCTCTCGATGTGGGCGATCTTGGAACATGGAACAACTTCAACACTGCCCCCACATGTCCATACCTACATGAAAAAAAAAAGCACAATAAAACTCAGTCACTATTCTTTCCATGGCTAAGATATAACTTTGGACCTCATCTCCTTGTTTGTATTACATAATGCAATTCATTTACTTGCTACCTGCACCTTCAGTTTCTATGGTATGTTTATAGCCATTTTAAATGATCTGCAGATTAGGACACCTGTGGTGATTATAACAAAATCCAGAAGGTCCATCTGCACAAATATTCTATATAATCTGATGGCAAAGACACTTATGTTTGCTTTACTATGGAAGAGAATTTTATGACTCTATGATCTTTACTCACACGAATTCCCAGCTCAACATTTTCTCCACCATACACTTTCATTCCTTCATCAAGGACTCCAATTTCCCCTAGAAACTTTCTATCAGCAACCATGATCCCCATGACAGATGGACTCCTAAAGTCAAAGAAGAGATCTCTATTTTAACTATTGTACACTGATATTAGATCATAATGATAGAGTTAATATGGCTGTTATATTGTTAAACATTGATTTTACTTGAACTTACTTTCCAGGCAGTGAACCGTCATTAAGTTTGTAATACTCGGGTGTAAAACTCTCATACATGCACCACAGAGCCCAGTCGAAGGCGTGTGCATTGGGATGATATGTAATAACCTTGAGATCATCAAAGTTGACTCTATCAAACACCGGGGAAACCACCACAGTTCGGTCAGCTTTAATCTGTGTCAGCAGAGGTTCAGCCCTGCATGAAGGAGGGGAACAAAGAAAAGGTGGAAAAGTTAGTCAACTAATGTGTACATTTCATTAACTGCTGACATGTCTGGGTCAACACTCTTCAATCACACTATGCAGCATGACTATGGCAACTGGTATAAACTGGAATTATGTGTCACAGTCTGGCTGGCAGACCGTGGCTCAGGGGGTTGGGAATCGCATCTGTAACGGAAGGTCGCCGGTTCGATCCCTGGGCTCTCTGTCCTGGTCGTTGTGTCCTTGGGCAAGACACTTTACCCTACGCCTACTGGTGTTGGCCAGAGGGGCCGATGGCGCGATATGGCAGCCTCGCTTCTGTCAGTCTGCCCCAGGGCAGCTGTGGCTACAACCGTAGCTGCCTCCACCAGTGTGTGAATGTGAGAGTGAATGAATAGTGGTATTGTAAAGCGCTTTGGGTGCCTTGAAAAGCGCTATATAAATCCAATCCATTATTATTAAATCACCGATGGCAATTTATATTTGGTAAACTTGTAGCTATCTCATGAAGACAGCATTGATATGTTCTTTAACACAATGTGGTAATATAATGATAAAAGAAAACAGAAAATATAAGACTTAAACCAACAACTGAATGTATTTCTGCCATGTTCCTACCACATCTCATGGACTTCAATGTGTGCGTCCAGGATGGCCACCACGTCAGCAGTAGCAGCCCTCCACCCGGATGCTCTGGCATGAGCGAGACCTCTCTGCTCACTGTGCCTCACTCTCACAATACGGAGATTAGGGTTCTCCTGCTCAAGCAACTTCACATAAACGTCAAGGTCACCCTTCAGATTGTCTGAATGGAAAAAGATAGTTATGTTTTTTTCTGAAGGAAGTGTGGGTAAGGAAGTGATACCAGCAGATTCAAACCGTCTAAAGAAGAAAACTAGTCCCAAACATGTGTGACGTGATAGTCTTCACTCAGCTTTTGATGATATATTTGAAACCAATCGTTTGTATCCAATTTACCATTAGAACTATGGTCATCCACCATTATTATCTCCTTCAGCAGGTTTTTAGGAGTGCGGTTGATGATGCTGCGCAGGGCTCTTTGGAGAACAGACAGGGCTTCATCCAGGTAGATGAGCACCACACTGAGACTCGGCAGGTCCTTGGGGTAACTCTTTTTCAAACACCTATTTATTAAAAAGATCAGAAATTTGAAATATTTTAGCAAGAAATAGACTGGATAGAGTATTTTTTTTTCTTTGAATGTACAGGAGAGAGAATGAAAGATTAAAATCATGAAAAGTTGTAAAAGTTGTACCGAGGATCTCTGGTATCTGGAAGAGGTCGATCCAGAGGGAGGCGATCGCTCAGATAAACATTGTACCCATACTTCTCATACAGGCTCTGAGCCTCTCTTTGGTCATCTTCAGAGAGATTTGCCCCCCACTCCTTGAACAAGACCGAGTTAGGGAACAGTTTTTCAGACTTTTTCATTTGATCTGCTTCATTTTGGGGTTGGATATTTGCATCATCTTTCTTCTTCTCTGCTGGCCGTTGGACTTCTGCTGATTTTCTTTGTTTTTCTCTGTCCTCTTCCAATATTTTCTGCATGATATCCTGCTTTTTCTCAAAACCTCTGAGTACTTTGTCTTCAGTAAAAGAGAATGTAAGCAAAAACATGATCAAAGAAATGGAATGAGTAACTTTCATACATGCACTCATCTTCTACATTTCCTACCTCTGTTTACATGCATACAGAAGCATAAAAACAAAAGCATAAATAAAAATACACTGCACGTTCAAAAGCCAAAATTGCAGTATTAAACACTTTAATTGAACTTTGACATAAACTTGTGTTATCATTTTATCTCATTTGTCAACAATAAACTGCAAAAGACCTATTTATTTCTCTTTATAACCATACTAAGGGTGCTTTCATTAATGTCTTTTCCCCCTATACTTTTTACTAATAAATCATTGGCGGGCATTGACTTAATGTCATATCTTCAATACATGTGCATGTAAAACTGCCTCTGAATTTAATTGATATTTCGTTTAATTTTATTACGGTATTTAACTTTCTTTCTTGTATAAAACCCACGGGTAGCATTTAATCTTAATAATAATAATAATCATCTAAAAGAGAAACTTTAATCTGACTGAACTCACTTAGATCGCTGATTCTTTCCTCCAGGTTGGACGAGGGCTTCATGCGCGGTGTGTCCATCTCGTTTTTAGTGTCCACGCTATGTTGGTGTCCATTCTTCAGAAAGATGCCGAAGTAAACCATGACCCCCACAGCTCCCACTAACAACAACAGCCGTTTTATCCACGTTCCCCTCATTCTGATAACACACCAGCCTCCCAGCCAGACAATCCAACGTGAGAGGACACAAAGAAGCACACACACACAGCTCATCTACTGACTGGACGAGATCAAATAGCTGATAACTCCTGATGTGAATGCCATTAAATCGTTAGTTGAGCAGACGTGTGAACATCGCTACCCGCCCATCGCGGCAGGTACGCCCTGCAGCAAGCAGCGTCAGGGTCATGGGCGTACCTGTGTGTCCAGACCTGCCCAAAAAAGTGACTGTGCCTCGTGAATGTAACAGACAATAAAAGATATATTGTATATTTAAGAATTCTTTGTAAGAATAGTGTGTTAATAAACATGGTCCAGCCAAATTAATTAAAAACAACTCTCATTGTAAATGACCCAGATTATTTGTTTATTTGATATTTTTTCAAACAGTTAAATCCCTGAACGAATTATACCTTATAATATAGATTAAACTCTTATTTTGAAATTCGTAACGGGCAACTTCCGGGAAGGAAGATCGTACCGCAACTGCTTGCCGCAGAAAGGATTAAATGAGAAGGTTATCGTTTTCCATCCATCTTAAAATTAGCATCTAGCTGGAAGGCGAACAGGTATGTTTGTGTGTTGTACTTGTTGTTTACATTTCGGACAATTTGTAAATGTATTACTTGATTGTTAATAAGTTTATGAGCGATCTAGCAGGCTGATGCTAGCACCTCCTGTGCCTTTTCTGTGAATTGATTAGCATAACAGAAACGTGGTTATATCAAGTGAATGTTTATTTGTTTTATGTTATGATTACAGCTCTTACGATGTGTCTATGGCAATTTGTGAATAAATGGGTTGGAATACCCCACCATGGTCCATCCGTAATGATCATTGAGTGCATCGTCTGAATAAAGTCCGGCTGGAATGCTACAGTAAGAGCTGATCCCCCGCATCATCCTGCTGCCATCCTGCACCACGGAACCACGAGGACGAGTCACGGAGCTGTGTTGCTATTCGTCTGGGATTGACAAGACATTTCACGGAGCAACTCAGTGCCATTCTATGGGTCTTCTAGACAGAGACTTTATAATCATCATGCAGCTGGCTTAATGGTTTGATGTGACGGTCAGAAAAGGTATGGAACATTTCATTCTAATCGACAAGGAAAGGACATTCATTCTCATCAGTGGTGGTTAAAGGGAGAGAGAAGGTCGTCAACTACTGTGGACATCTGCTGCATTAAGACACAACGGACATGAAGTAATAACAAGTGAAGTAATTTTGTTTATTGGTATTTACCACCACTACTGTATATTTATCATTCTTTCTACTGACCCAAAAGGGGGTGAAAGAGGGGCATTTAGTTCAATTTGTAACTGTACAATAGTAATGGTGTATTGATCTGTGTTTAGCATAAGAGGTTTACTTTACCACATCAGTTTGCAACAGCTAGCAGGTTGCATTTATTATTTTATACATTTCTTCTCAATGTTGTGTTGGTTATCCGCTTCTATTTCAACTTAGTTTAAAGTGCAAAGATTCTCCTCCCTTCTGTTAATGCAGCCTGTAAGTTATAGTAACCACAAGCAGCTCATTAACTAAAGCCTGCAAATTAGATAAGTAAATAACATAAACATTAAGGAAATGGAGACTCCCTCCTCACAAACAGAACTAGAGCATCAGATAGTCGACCTGCAGAATAAAATCAAAGGGCTTAAGGCGTCTCTTGAAGACACATCAGAAACTACGGAAATAGAAATTTTGGAGAAGGAAATTCAACGCAGAGAAGAAACGTTGAACAACTTACAAGGTGAGCTTAAGGAAGGCCTCCGACGTTCCACTCGAACAAAAATCCCAACTCCAAAGGCGCTCGAAATGCAACAGGAGGAAGCAAGAAAAAGGGAAAGAAAGTTCATCTCAACGTACGAAAGATGGAAGATTCGAGCCCGAGAGTCAAGAGAGCAGCTCAAGTCAGACATTAGTAAAGGCGAGCTGGCATCTTTGATGGATTCTTTGGAGAAAGAGAAAGAAACTGTGTTAAACACTTACCTTGAAATACGAAGTCACATTACACCTTCTCCAGAATTAAGACGTCACGTTGACAGTTGTGAGGCAGTTACAGCCGAAATTATGAAAGTTACCCACGAGAGAATGTCAGATCTCGATGGTGATTATGATGCAGAACAAGTACATTGCCGTCTCAGGGAGCTGCTTAAGAACATCTACGCACGCTCCATCTATGGATCCACCGCATCTAGAGTGACAAAGTCAATCCGTAGTCACAAAAGCACTACTCTAACACTCAAACAGGCAGATGCAGCAGCAGAGCTAGCTGCTAAGGAAGTCGAATTTGAAGGGTTGCTGGAAGAAGAGAGACAAATGGAGAAGATAGAGGAACAGCAGAGAAAAATGGAAGTAGAAAAGCGCAGACTTGAACGCCTTCAAGCAGAAAAGAATTTGAGGGCTGCTCAGGCGAAACTGCAAGTCTACAGCCAGGTAGCCTCGCAGGAAGGCAGTCTCCATTCCTCTAATAGTTCAGTGGGAAATCATCATGTTCCCCCTGCTATCAACCCTCCAACTCCCACCGTCACAGCATCGCCACCCGACCTAAACGTGTCATCCCTTGCCCAAGCCCTACAAGACAGTATGGCTCTAAATAGACTTCCAGTTCCAGAGCCGTCTGTATTTAGTGGGGATCCCATTCAGTTCATTGAGTGGAAAACTTCATTCATGTCACTTATTGACAAAAAGGCCATCTCCCCAGCAGACAAACTTTATTACTTGAGAAAGTATGTAGGCGGCCCAGCTCGTAAAACATTAGAAGGAACTTTCTATAGGAATGACAGCGACGCTTATAAGGATGCGTGGAACAAACTGGATAACAGATATGGCCAAACCTTTATTATACAGAAAGCCTTCAGAGATAAGCTCACAGATTGGCCAAAGATCCAACCAAGAGATGCAGAAGGATTAAGAGACTTCTCAGATTTCTTAAACGCTTGCCAAGATGCAATGACACATGTGAAGAGCCTCGAAATACTGAACGACTGTGAAGAGAATAAGAAGCTAATCCTTAAACTACCAGAGTGGATAGCATCTCACTGGAACAGGAAGGTTACTGAAGCCTTAAAGGGCAATAAGGAATTCCCCAGTTTTAAGGACTTCGCCGCATTTATGGCGACAGAGGCAGAGATTGCTTGCAATCCAATCACCTCAGCTTATGCCCTCCGCAGCTCTGAGTCGAGCACTGCAAAACAAGGCAGCAGAGACCCTAAGAGGAACAAGGCAAGCGTTCTAAACACACACTGCTGCAACATTTACATGGTAGGGTGAGAATTTTGAAAAATGAAAGCATGGATCCATCCTGCCTTGTATCAACAGTTCAGGGTGATGGATTGTTTAAAGGTCACAGCCTGCATGAGTATTGTTGCTGACATGTCAGTGTCCTTTATGACCACAGTGTCCCCATGTCCTAATGGCTGCATTGTTGCTGATCTATGAAGTAAATATGGGCCAAATATCACAAAACCAGAGGAACATAGTATTAGCAATGTGTTCCTACCAAAGTGGCCAGTGAGTGTGTGACGAGATGAGACTAAAAGGTTTAGTTAATATGATTCTGGATCTTTAAGCCCCAAATTGTAACTATTATGCTTTTGAGCACTGACTACTGTCATATGTACACAACTATTCAGGAAAACCCTGCATAAAGTATTTAATTAATGATAATAAATTTTAAAACAGGGGAACTGGAAGTCTGTTCAGAGGCCAGACTCTGATCTTTAAGAGCAAAGTTAAACCAGCAGGGGGAGTTGAGTTAGAGTTGCTTGCAGTCACATGGTTTAGCACTGTGTATTCATCAGGCTTTGTCTACACCATGTAGGCCTGCCTGTATTTTTTTCCTAATGTATCAAGTCCGAGCATGCAGCTCCTCATTCGCTAGGCCTGACATTAGGCATATCTATCTCCATGAAGATGGACACTTGCAGTGAGCACTTATCATGGGTATTTTCTGCGCTCTTTAATTTGCTGATTAAGAAGCTAAGAGACTAGTCTTCAAGTCCACGTACCGTTTACAGCAACTCAAGTTCATCACAGAAGCGCACTAGAAGGATTACGCGCCGTCAAGGAAGAGATATTTAAGAACACAAACAGCTCATGTCGCACTCTAAATATATGCCGGTTTGAATTGAACATTATAGGTGAGCTGTAAGCCCCCTGAGATCTGGATCATCATTATATTACAACACCTAACGCGAAACAACTTGTCGAGAGTAGTTCACATAGGTTTCTAATGAAAACCTACTGAAATAAGATACAAACTCCAAAACCTTTCAAAGTCACCATTTATTAGAACAGATGTACTCTATATGTAGTGTTTTGTCACAGTGAGATACTGTAGAAGAGAAGACGCACTCCTGCAGGCTGCTGTCTGCCTGTAGTTGTTTTTTCCTTTCTTCCTCCTCTTTGAAGGCTGGAGAAATCATCCAGAAATGTTGTCATTTATGTGGGATCTTATTTACTCTTAAAATCACTGGTCTGCATCGCCAGCAGTCAGCAGGAGGTTCATTAAAACTGGGCAATAAGATAATGAGATTGTTCATCAGGTCAGGACCAGTGAGCAGATGATCATTCAAACTGGTTCCCTGGTACTTGGCAGAGCAGTCGAACACCACGCGCAGTTTGCCTGGCTTCTTGTCGTGGAATACACCGTGATGAGGTATGTACCATTTTTCGCCCTCTTTCCCATCATCGTGGACTTCCTCTGCATCACCCCTTTCTATGACCTCCTCCATGAACTTGATATACTGTTCTTTGTACCCTTCATCCTTTAACAGCTTCCTCTTTAGATGGCTCAGACGTATGACTGCAAGCTGTTTGTTGTCAGGTAAGGTAGGTCTCTCCTTAAAGGGCAACGGCATCTCGTAGTGACCTAGACTGTTCTTTTCGATGTGGTTCTTGAGTTTGTCCAGGAACAGGATGTCCTCCTGAGACACTGGTTTGCCGTCTTCCTTAGCATCCTTAAAGTCAGACTCTAGAATGCGAATGGCATCTGCCGGAGTGACTGGTGGGAGCTCCCTGACTGCAACTCGGAAGCACTGTCCCGCCGTACTTGAGGTGTCGGGGCATGTCGACTAGGGCTGGGCGATATATCGAGTTTTTTAAAAATATCGATATATTTTCATACGAGATATAAGATGTGACAATATCGTTTATATCGATATAGTCTATGTTACGTTATAATTATACTTGTGGAGCCGCAGGTTTGCCTCTCTTTCGTCCACTTTTGTCTCTACGCAACGTTACTCGGCCTCGCCTCTCCTTCACTGAACACAGCTTCACCTGCAGGCAATGACAAGATGAAAGCGGAAAATCTCCGTTAGCGAGTTACGCGGATCGCCCGTGCGTGGGGCTGGACGGCGTCAACGTGTTAGCGAGCTAACCGCGCTAACGAGCTAACCGCGCTAACGACATGCAGCCCGGAGGGGCTGCACGGCCTAAAATCCTTTCATTTTCTCAAAAATCGACAGTGCGCCTTATGTATGAATTCTGGTTGTGCTTACTGACCGCGAACCGATTTTATGTGGTACACAGCGCTCAGCAATCTGTCAAAAAATGTTTTAATATGACTTTGCTAAGCTACGGAGCTGCACCGCTTGATGGATTGTCGGAGGATTACGGCTACCGGGGAGGAGCCTCGCGGAGTGATACGTACTGTGCTTCAACGTAATATTACCGTACTGTGTGTGTATAAGGACCACAAATGGCACCTGTTCAGAGACGTGGTGCAGCTGTGAAATCTGTCTCTTTGTTATTATGCTCAGCGTCTATTAGTTTACATTTTGACTGCACAATTGTGAGCTTTTTGTTATGCACAAAAACAACATTGTTTTCTTTTATTTATGGACCATGATTATTTAATAAATGCTGATAATTTATTTTTGAGTAATTTCTTCATGTACATCTACGCTGTATGTAAATAAAAGTGCCCGTGTGACATCTGGGACACAGTGTGACTAAGAACTCTCTTTTTGTTCTTAACTTATGGCTTTAAAAAAAAAAAATCGAGATATATATCTTATATCGCCATCCAGCTAAAAAATATCGAGATATGAATTTTGGGTCATATCGCCCAGCCCTAATGTCGACGTACCACCAACTATGCTCCATCCTAAGTCGGTACGAATTGCATAAGGCTCATCGTCTCCTCCCGTTATGACGTCTCTTGGTGCCATTGCTCGTGCGCAGTTATAGCCTATCAATAAACCAACCTCACAGTCCTGTAGAGGTGGAATCTCTTCTATGACCTTGGAGAGATGATTCCACCTTTTAGCTGTCTCGCATGTTGGGATATGGGCTCTGTTTACTGGTATGCAATCCTTGGTATAAGCAGGAGGAAGGTCGATGAGGAGGGAAGAGCGATAACCCCGAACACAAAGCCCTGAGACTCTTTGGCTCTTTACGATCACGTCGCGTCCAATCATAGTAGTTAACTTCAGCTTAACTGGACAGGAATCTGCCTTTAATACATCACTCAGTTCCTGGTCAACAAACGTCGTGTCGCTTTGCGTGTCCAGCAAGGCGTAAACCAGTTTCTCAGTTCCTGTATCCCTTTTTGACACCCACACAGGCACAATCATTGATGTGTTAGTTGGCTGTCCAGTAATCACTGACATTGAAGTTGCAGCAGCCTCCGTTTGGCCGGCATTGCTCAGGATAGTGGTTTCCTGTGGCAGAACTCTTTCCTTCTTTAAATAGTTGTCATCGTGTAAACAAGTGGGATGTTTACCCTTGCACGTGTTGCATGAGTGTCGATGTCGACAGTCTTTTGCACTATGTCCAGGTTTGGTGCAGCCATAGCAGAGCTTATGTTCTCTGACAAAATCTCGACGCTCCTCCAGAGTTTTAGCAATAAACTTGGGACATCCATGTAGTCTGTGTTGATTATTTTGACAGAAGGCACAAGGAGACCTTTCCTTTCCTTTAACTGGCTTGAGCCTCTCGGTGTCAGCCTCAGTC